AAAAAAGATGGCCGTCACAGTTCTTTGGCAAACACAAAAATGGGTGCAAGTCATTTTGTTGCTATTGAGCTAAAACAAAATTATGAGTTGTCATCAACCTTTGCTGAGAGCAAACACGCCTTGATGTCACTTCCAAGGTTTGACTGAAACATTTATCATTTTGTCTCTTAATTTAAGTTGATCTTAATCTGAAACTCTGCCATGGAAGAGGACGGGTGACCTGCATTGATTTAAGGCAGGTCTTTATTGGAAGATGAACTTTTGCATCGTTTGTGTCAGAGTCTGTGACAGAACAGGTTTGTTTGTGAGCAGTTACTCAACAGCATGAGTCAAACCACGAGTAGATTCTACAGAATCTAAACGCCGTGTCCCCCACCCCGTGGGGGGGGGGACAGGAAGCTGCTGCAGAGTCTGACTCTGAGCTCGCTGTCTGAAATCAAAGCAGAGGACTCGGTCAGCGGGGACAGGACTGACTGTTTGTACAAAGCAGCAGCTTCAGATCCTGTTTTCTCAGAGTTCTCATCGCCGAGAGCTAATTTAAGGAGGCGGCACATGACTGAAGGCTGCGGAGACACCAAGAACACATCAAACCAGCCAAACCAACCTCTCACTGGGCGCTTCTCTCACAAACATGCCTGTTTTAGAACAGCAGGACAACTGACGCGCGTTTGTTTGGATTATTTTAGAAATCAGGAGAACCGACAAACAGATTTGTTTTCAATCCATAACAGTCGTGAAAAGAAGTGTCTGCTGTTTAATCTGCTTAATAAACTCTTAATTCACCATTATTACTCAAAACAATCAATTTAAATAATCATCTGACCAAATCATCCATTTCTATTTACATCTCGTCACAAATAATCTATAAAACTGCCACTTGTCTGTTTTGATTTAGTTATAAATCAGAAAGTTCAGGCTTGTTATCGACCACCCGATTAACCGATTACATTCAGAGTCGGTGTGATTCAAGATGGCCGCCACAGACAACCGATTTTACAAAACGCCAAAAAAAAAAAGTCTCCCCTTCAGTGAAATTTACAGACACTGTGTTGAAATTTGGTGTAATATTTTAGGTTGATTTCAACTTATACTACAAACATATGCCTGTTTTTATAGTCAGGTTTGTCTGTTAGTAAAATATCTCATGAACCGTTGGGTGGAATTCGATTAAATTTTTAGGAAACATCTAATAGATCTACATCTACAAGGGACTCCCTTTTGGAGTCGATCCAATTCAAGATGGCCTACTGATCTTGGAAAATACAAAAACAGCCAGAGCTCTGTCAGTTTACAGAGACTGAGCTAGATTGTGGTGTGGTAGTAGCTGAGAGTCATCCCCAACGCACGCTTTATTCTCCCACCGAACGATGCTTTCAAGCGTTGACCGATACGACCATCGCTCCATCGTTTCTTCATATGAAATAATCTGAGTTTAAAACAAAATGTCTGTAGTTTGTGGAAATTCCATGAATTTTTATTTTCCCAGCTCCAAGGTCAAGGTGTCCAGGGGGTCTTAGCTTGTCCGGGCCGTTGCTTCATAGTTCTGTATAACAACTTGTTGATGGATTATAATCTAATTTAAACGATGTCATGACGTTGTGTCACCGATGCTGCAACGAGTTCAAACCTCTCGTCCCTGAGCTTCAGGCCGCAGCGGCTGACAGCAGCAGAAGATGACGCCCGTTGGACAATCGTGGGAACGTCGCTCAGATTAAACTTCAGCTCCAGAGAATCTGTTCCTGGCGAGCAGAGACGCAGTCGGAGGGATTGTTTGTTTGCAGAGAACAGAGGAGAGCAGACTGCGTCAAACGGAGGGAGAGAAAAGGACGGGACGAACGAAAGCCCGTGGCCCCGCAAGAGCGCCGAGTCTCGGCTGGGTTTTAGCCGCGCGGGAGCTGAAGCTCGGCTCGTAAATTCCTCTGTGATGCATTCCAGATGTGCTGCGAGCAGCTGGCCGCGGGGGGGTCGCAGCACGACACGATGCGGCGTGGTAAGAGGCTGTAACGCATGAGAGGAGCGTCTAAACTTTCAGCCGAGGACTCCGTGCTGAGAGGGAGGCGAGGAGGAGAAACTACACTTCGTGGGTTTTAATTTGACTCGTCCTCATCTGAGTTAAATTTAGAAACACCTGTCTCACTGAGTGCTCAACAGCTGGATCAGGGAGGTTCTCTCTGTTTTAATTATTACAGACCTAGCACTACTTGAAGGAATGCATATCACCCGCCACCAAAGAGAAAATCTGTAGCTCTTCTCTTTAAAACATAAATAACCTGTAGAGACTCGGGGATTTACTCGTTTTCTGCACAGCCAGGTAGTCAGGTAATGCATGCACCTTCACACGTTACTGAACACACACACACAGATGTGTGATGTTGGGGAGTGGACAGTGGGAGGACAGGAGGGTGTCGGCTGGTGAAGGATGAGCTGCTGCAGCGGTGGTGGGAGGTACGGGCCGGCAGCAGAGACTGATGAGGACTCTCTGTGGGACTCCAGGAGTCTCCTGCAGCTTCACCGGTCCGTCGTTATAAAACCTCCAGCTCCTCCTCAAACACCTGATTTTCATTTTCTCATCTGTGACCGGCAGAAACGTGACACTTTTTATACGTATGCGAAACAAATCCAACATGTGGTGGGATTTACTTCACAGAAACTCATAAATCTGCTTCTGCTGTTTTTAGTCTATGTACCTTGATGTAATCTAATTACTTCTACATGCTTTAGCAGTTCGTTTGTGGAAACCTTAAGCTCATTCAGGAGATGGGTGCTGTGAGTTTTAGCTTTTATAACTTTATTTAACTTTACAGTAGTCCCTCGCTACTTCGCGGTTCGTTCATAGCGGACTCGCTCTATCACGGTTTTTCAAAATAAAATTGGACACGACACACAATTGGCTGATTGATGGATGAGCCGCACGATCGGCATGAATTTTTATTTTAAATAAGTTATTTTAAATTATTTAGCACCTGCTGCACATTTGTGCAGCCCAGAGCTGCAGAAAAAAACTTCCTCCTGCACCCCTGTGCAGCTCTTACTGCAGCATAAACTTCCTGCTGCAGCTGATCAGCTGTTCACCGTGCAGCAGAGAAGTGGGCGTGGCCAAGAGCACTTGCAGGTGGCTGAGAGCAGCGGAGGCAGGGAGCTGAAATCATGACATTCTGTCTTTTAGAGCGTTTAGAGTTTAGAAACGTTGTTTAGAATATTGCAAGAGTGTGGGAAGGGTTAAAACACCTTTATATATATATATTTATAAACATATATATATAAATAAACTACTACTTACTACTTGTATTCCTACCTCGCAGTTTTTCACTTATCGCGGGGCTTCAGGGTGTGGATCCCCCACAATAAACGAGAGACTACTTTATTTGCTAACATTTCACCTTAGAAATACATAAACTATTTCCGTTCCCTTTTTGATAGTTTTATGCTGGTTCTTAGCTTGCTTTTTGTAACTCTGAGCTTTTCCTTTGCTATTTTGCTAGCCTTGGTTACTTTAAACTAATCATTTGCTGCTTTTAGCTTTTTGCCACCCCTTGCTACTTTTAACTGCTCCTTTCTTTGTCTAGTTTAAGTTTTCAGCGACCCCTTTCCAGAGTGAGTGTGAAGAAAAGAGGCGTGGAGGTCAGAACCCACAGGCTCATGTCTGGTGCCAGCATGGACATTAAGAAAGCTATCTTGAAAGTAAATGATTGATCAATTAAGAAACGTTTGTGGGTGTGTTGATCAAAATAAAGATTAAGGTGTTGAAACAACCAAATGTTTTTATAATCGTTTTGCAATCAAAAGATCCTGTAATCTATTTATATTTATTTAATCTAGTTCTAACCTCCTTTAGCTTTTAACTTGTCGTTTGCAGGTTCCAGTTAGTGTCTTCATCCCAGGGTGCATCACCCCTCCAGCCCTCCGTCAGTAGGGTAATTGGGCCCCCCTAGACTCCTGAGTATTACCCAAACAAAACAGCGAACTAAACTAAAAAAGCATGAATCATCTCATCTCCTGCTCTGTGCTAACACGAGAGTTTCACTTCCTCTGTACCAAATTAAATGGCCGTTATTAGTCGTTATCAACCCCATACGTAGCGTTCAGGCTGCCCCACCTCTACCTACCTTTTAGGTTTTCACCATCTTGTCAATATTTTTAGCTAGTCTTTGACTATTTTTTTTCTTAGCTATTTCTTTATTTTAGCTTTTAGCTACTTTGAAGCTTTTTTTAAGTTAGCCTTGGTTACTTTTACCTAATCATTTGCTTCTTTTAGCTTTTTTAGCCTTTTGCTACTTTCACTTCTAGCCAGCCTTTTGCTATATTGAGAAATTTAGCTTGCTTTTAGTTACTTTAAGCTTTTAGCTACGCTTTTGCTGTTTTTAACTAGCCTTGGCTACTTACTTCATTCTTTTAGCTTTTTTCTAGCCTGTCAAAATATTTAGCTAGCCTTTGGCTGTGTTTAGCTTTTAGCTATTCTTTTGATATTTTGGCTTTTAGCCACTCTTCAGCTATTTTTTGTTGGCTTCAGTTATTTCTTCCTAACCTTGGTTGCTTTTATCTAATCTTTGCTCTTTTTAGCTTCTAGCTAGCCATTTTTGCCTTCAGCTAGCTTTTACTTTTTTTGTTGTTGTTATGCTAACAGCTTTTTTAGCTGATGTTAGTTGTCTTTCAGCACTCAGAGTTCTGGTACATTTGGTTTTGAATCTCAATTTTTTTCACAGGAGATGAATATTTCAGCTAAACCTTTTATTATCACAGTGAGATCTTCGGTTGTTCAGAGGAAACAGCTAAAGTCTAGATTTAGTCTTAAAGCGGCGTCAGCCACGATGACAAGAAGACAAAACTTTTGTTTATAAAGACAGAAGACTTGGACAGTTTTTGGACTGGACAAGTGTGGGCTCAGGGTCCGATTGAACCTTTTAAAAGGTCGATCAGCAGCAGCCGAAACACATTCAACATCCTCCCGTTTGTTTTCTGCACCAACAAACTGACCCCGGATCTCCTCTCTCCTCCTGCAGGTACGACTATGTGGAGGTCTTCAACGGCGGGGACGAGTTCTCACCCACGTTGGGGAAGTTCTGTGGGAAAATTGCTCCATCTCCCATCATTTCCAGTGGCGGGCAGCTCCTCATCAAGTTTGTCTCCGACTACGAAACTCACGGAGCCGGGTTCTCCGTCCGCTACGAGGTCTTCAAGACAGGTGTGTGTTCGGCCTGAGCTTCCTTTAGTTCAAAGACATGAAGTTCGGCTGCTCAACTGAAGAAACCTCTAGAAAAATAGTTTTTTTATGTTTCAAGAAGGGCATGAGATCTGATCCAGAACCAGGTGTTGTGTGTTGTTTGGTGCCACGACGGGCGGGTAATTGTGTAAATTGCCTGTCTGCGTGGGTATTTGTTAATTTCTATGTTAGTAAAATATCTCATGAGCCATGGAACGGATTTTACTGAAACTGTAATTTTTTTATGTTTCTATAGTTGATAAACCAGATTGAAGATGGCCGCCAAAGATATTTGCAGACATGGAAGTGGCTGCAGCTCAGTCGTTTTACAGAAACTGAACTTAGAGCTGGTGTGGTAGTAGCTGAGAGTCATTCACAACATGTACTTCGAGCTTCACAGGTTTATCTCTTTTGAGTCGGATGTTCAAAATTCTGGATTTTCGACCAGTTCCAGTCCTGAAATTTTAAAAGACAAAAAGGAAAAAGAACTATTTTACAAATGTCTGGTGATTCTGGACCTCAGGACAACTAAAGACCTGATCACCTCTGTGGACCAGCCTGGACCTCGGGACAGCTAAAGACCTGATCACCTCTGTGGACCAGCCTGGACCTCGGGACAACTAAAGACCTGATCACCTCTGTGGACCAGCCTGGACCTCAGGACAACTAAATACCTGATCACCTCTGTGGACCAGCCTGGACCTCAGGACAGCTAAAGACCTGATCACCTCTGTGGACCAGCCTGGACCTCAGGACAACTAAAGACCTGACCACCTCTGTGGGCCAGCCTGGACCTCAGGACAACTAAAGACCTGACCACCTCTGTGGACCAGCCTGGACCTCGGGACAACTAAAGACCTGACCACCTCTGTGGACCAGCCTGGACCTCGGGACAACTAAAGACCTGATCACCTCTGTGGACCAGCCTGGACCTCGGGACAACTAAAGACCTGATCACCTCTGTGGACCAGCCTGGACCTCGGGACAGCTAAAGACCTGATCACCTCTGTGGACCAGCCTGGACCTCGGGACAACTAAAGACCTGATCACCTCTGTGGACCAGCCTGGACCTCAGGACAACTAAAGACCTGACCACCTCTGTGGACCAGCCTGGACTTTGGGTCAGTCAAAGACACCTCTACACTTTTGCACCAGGCTGTTGTTTGTTGCTTCCAGAGCCGAACTTCGGCTGATAATCACCTAAAACACCGACTGTTGGTTCAAACCTGAAGACCTTTGTCCAGTTCGATGCTCAAAGTCGAGGCTGTAAACGTCTTTCTGCTCGGCGTCCTTGTTGAACTCCGGCACACTGACCTCTGTGAGCTAAACGATCACAGCTCGTCTGAGGCCAGAGTCCCTGGTGGGGCAGGATAGACGTACATAAACACTCCTAGCATTGGGAGGACGCACCCTGTCCCCTCCCTTGTCCCTTTGTCCTACATTTGTATTCACTCTTCCTCAATCCACCGAATCTCCTGTGACCACTTCAGTTTTCCTCCAGAGGAGACTGGACATAAATCAGATATTTTTTTAAAAAACCAAGCATGCATGAGATTCCTCCTCTTTCTTTTGTTGTTCTCACCCCAGAGAGCAATAATCGTTACAGAATCACAGCATCCAGAAATACCAGTCCCCAGGTGGGCATGCGTCGGAAAGCGCCACATGCAGATGGGAAGGAGACGTGGCTCATCACCCTTCACGTCTCTAAACCTTAAATTAACGAGAGAACTTTAAATGTCCTGCTTGTTTTGGCTCTAACTCTATGTTTCCACTAATATATATAAAAGTAGGTCATCGGCGTCTCCGTGTAGCAGAAGGTCCCGAATGTTTTCATCAACCGCCGCCAAAAGGCAAAGGTGGACGATGTTTTCACCAATTTCTTTGGTCTGTGCAGATTTTAATGAAACTTTCAGGAAGTGACCCCAATTAACCTTTGAAGTCCATCCATTTAAAGATGGCTGCCACTTTAACAAGCACAAAACCGACAGAACTTGAGCTCAAAATTTAGACGTCGAGAGTCAACAGATTGTCGAGGTTTGACCTAAAACCACTCAGGATGATCTCAGAAACACTCGGCGGGTGATGAGCATTCCTACAAGGACAAAACGAGAACAAATCTTTCTCCAGAGCTCAGATGTTTGCTTCTCCGACTGTAACTGATTTTAAATGTGGCGAGGAGAAAAAGGCAGCGGCGAGGGATTACCGGAGTGACTGAAAGTGCTGTTTTTAACTTGTTAGGGGGTGGACGGCCTGTATTGAGGCCGACGCACGCACACACACAGAACATGCTTCTGCCCCAGTTTCAGAGGCGCTCCTCGATGCCAGAGCATCCATCTCGTCTGCAGGTCACCCCTGCTGCCTCCAAGGACAAACAGCCCATTAGCTAAATGAGCCTGAGGTCCCACACACACCTGTCTCCTCCACAGAGAGACACAAACACACACACTTACACAGAACAGTCCATTTAAACGCACCAGCAGCGGTCGGGTGTGTTCAGCAGCACAAGAAGAAAAAAAAAGCTTGTTTTTTCCTGACAGGAACAAAAGCCGACTCTCAAAGTCCACGTCTAATTCCTGCATTTAGATTCAGAGCAACACGCCTGGAGCCTTCAGAACCAAACCCGATGGTTCCGTCAGGAAACAAATAAAAAAGCTCCTAAAAAGATTTTGGCTTGCTTCCACAAGGTGACTTTGGCATTAGGTTTTGATATATTTGTATTTTCTTGATGGTCATGCTGAGGTGCAAAGTGAATCTTTCATCAAAGGGATGAGCTTCGACTGCTGCTCAACGCGTCGGATCTGTTAGAGCTCAGAGTGCGAAACGGAGGCGACTCTCAGCTACTACCACGCCAAGTTTTAGCTCCGTATCTGCATCGTGGACTGAATTACAGCCGTTTGTGTTTTTGTGAATGTTGATTAACTGTGGCGGACAAAATGAATTGTGTTGACGTCAAATTAAAATCAGTCGTAGACGTATATCCAGTGATCCTTTGTCAGCAAGCTGAATTAAAATCCCTGAAGTTGTTCAGAAGATATTTTGCTAACAGACGCATTTTGAATGTTGAGGATTTAAAATGGAAAACGCCTCTACCCAAGCTACCAAAATCCACAAATATGTGTGGTATTCTAAGCTTTGCATATCTGAAGAACTAAATTAAAACGTTGTTTTTACGCTTCTCTGCTCTGCGGTGAGTCTTCGTTTCTTTTTGGACACCAGAATCAGGACCTGCAGGTAAAAAGCTCAAAGCTGCTCACAGCCTGACCGCAGTGATGAATTAGAATAATAAAACCTGCTAATTTGGGGTTTGGTTATGGTTAAAAACCCTCCTCTTACTCAAAAAGTCCCAGTTTTCTAATTTAGTGTTGTTATGTGTGTAATTTTGTTTCTTCTCCGGCATTCAGGAAGCCATAAAACAGCTGAGGTTTTAAAATAAAGCTGTTTTTATTTATGCAGACAAAAAAATGTTTATTTGGAAATGTCTCAGTATGAGAGTCTTAAATGTTTTTAAGTTTTTGAGAGCCACTTCAACCCTCTTTTGTCTAAATAAAGTTTAGACAGAGCACAAACTTACAGAACGTAAACTCTGGATAAGGAGTCACCCTAATTCAAAATGGCCACCAAAGCTAAACTACCTTTGCCAACACAGACATGGCTAAAAACTTGTCTTAAATAGCTGTAACGATTAAATTAGTGGTGTTGAGGTAAAGTAAGAGCTGAGAGTCATCATGAACACTTCGAGCGTTAACACATCTTGCTTCTGTAGTGGCCATCTTGAATTAAAACTGTCATGAAAGGAAGTGGGCAGGAGTGAAGAAGGGACTTGGAAATACCCTTCGTCCATCTTTCCGACCATCGTGAGCTGAATAAAGTTTAAAAAAAAAAAGGTAGTGACTTCCATTTAGTTGTGTGGCTGCATAGGCGTAAGAAAGGTCACTATCAAAAATTGGGTTGCCACCTCAAAATCCAAGATGGCCACCGCCGTATGTATATGTGAATCAACTGAACCAATCACTTGAGAAAAATATGTTTTTTAGTTTTTATACTGCTTAAAAGTATAGTTTCCTCAAATGACTGGGGTGGCCGGAGATTAATCTACGGTGGCCAAGGCCACCGTTTGCCACCCCCTGGCTCCGCCATTGCACCTGGTGATGGATAAAATTACTCCTAGCACTCGCCAAGATCCGTCTCGGTCTCCTACACAGTGTAACTCCCACCCACTTGAATGTCTTTCACCAAAAACATTAAGGTTTACTTGCAACTGTTCAATTCTAGTCTAGAAAAAACACTCGTCTCCAAAACTACAAACTCTTCAAATCCCTTGAGCGACGCAGGACGTTGGCGTACTGCTTGTATCATTAGTGCTGCAGAAAGTTCACACACATAACTAGGCTTGTCGTGATAAACAATAAATCAATTAATGGCATGATAAATGGAAATGATCAACCTCATTTTCATTTATCGTTTTTTCGTGTCTCTTTTTCTACTGATGACACTGGATGACAAAAGGCTCAACTCCGGTGTTCTTCACTGACCCCGCCCTTTCTCTTTTCTTTTTAAAATTCGTTTTAACGATCCAAAATCGTGTTTTTGGATCGTTAAAAGTAGCTAAGCTGAGAAGCTAAGCTACAAGCTAAACTAACAGGCCGACCTCGGGAAATGGCGTCCGTCTTGTCAAAGCTCCAAACTCAACGGTTGAAACCCCGTGCCTTCGTCTAAAAAGTTGTTTTTCTCTGCAAAAAAAGCTGAGAACTTGTTTACCGTGTTTTTTTAATTAAAAGATTTGTGTGAAAAATGCTATGCTAAAGAGCTCAAACCACACCGAGCGGCCGCCATTTTGAGAACCGAAAAACGGGAACAAGAGACAGCCCATGTCACGTCAAGGTGACTCCCTCCCATTTTTCTTGAATGGACACGCTGCTTGCTCCCTCACTATCCATCCTTCGGTTCAAACGATCTTATACCGCCATCCACTGGTCAAAAATATACTACACAAAAATTAATCAACATTTCTTCTGAAATTTTACAATAAATACTAATTATTGTCAAATTTCAAACTATCGTTTATCGCAATAATTTACGAGACAATTAATCGTTCAGCAAAATTTATTATCACGACTTTCACACAGGAAACTGCAGCTTTCTGCTCCACGCAACTTCTTCAAACCGGAACCGTCACAAAGATGAAGTTCTAACTTGTGGGACCTTTTTTCTCTTTAACTTCAGTTCGTTGTCGCACATGGACCCTCCTTTTTTATGTGTCTGTGGCTTCATCCCTCCTCTCCTCTCTGCCTGTCTTCACTACAAGCGGAGCCACAGAGAGCGGCGACGCCGGCCCAGATGACGGGTTCTGTTGGCTTTTAATGACGCTCGGTCGCGTCCGTCCGCCCCTTCACGACCACATCGTAGGTTTCATCTAGAAATGATCGCCAAGTGGGGCCTTCCTGTCTTTGAGGAGCTATGTTTGTCCCAACTTTCTCCGTTTATTGCAGGTTTTTAACCAGAAACACATGTCTGCCTCGTTTTCTTTCTTCTTTTCTTTTTTAAAGCATCGGCTGATTGAAGGGTCGTTATTTATGAAAAAAAAAGATGAAAGGGGTGAGAAGATGGATGGAGAAATGAGGAATGTATTTTGTTTTGACTAAACCACAAAAACACAGATGCAGCTTTTATTATCAGCACATTTATTCCTTTTGATGTAATTAAAAATATCTTGTTTATTATCACCTACTGACAGAAAAGTCTGCGTGTGCCTGTTAGCAAAATATCACACGAATCACCGGATGGAGTATGATGAAGCTCCCAGGAAGTAATCACTGGATGTGCATCTACAACTAGGCCTGTCGCGATAAACAATAAATCAATTAATCGCATGATAAATTAAAATTATCGACCTCATTTTCATTTATCAGCTTTATCGTTTCTTCGTTCTCTCTCTTTCTACTGAAGACACTGGATGAAAAAAAGCTAAACTCCGGTGCTGTTCACTGACTCCTCCCTTTCTCTTTTCTCTTTGAAATCCGTTTTAATCGTCTAAAATCACATTTTTGGATCGTTAAAAACAGCTAAGCTGAGAAGCCGACCTCGGAAAAAACCTCTGTCTTGTCAAAGCTCAAAAATTCACAGTTGAAACTCATCCCTTGGTATAAAAAGTTGTTTTTCTCTGCAAAAAGAAGCTGAGAACTTGTTTACCGTGTTTTTTTAATTAAAACATTTGTGTGAAAAATGCTATGATAAAGAGCTCAAACCACACCGGGCGTCCGCCATTTTGAGAAACAAAAAAAAAGAAGTTTAGGCAGCCCATGTCACGTCAAGGGGCCTCCCTCCCATTTTTCTTAAAGAGGCACGCTGCTCACTCACTCACTATCCATCTTCAGTTCAAACTGTCTTATACTGCCACCCAGTGGTCAAAAAAGGTACTGCACTCAAAATAAAATCAAAATTTATTCTTAAATTTGACAATAATTACTAATTATTGTCAAATTTCAAACAATATTATCGTTTATCGCAATAATGTCTGAGACAATCGCCCAGAAAAATTTGTTATCGTGACAGGCCTATCTACATTAAATTAACTTCTGGAGTGTCGAATCAAGTAAATCATTTTTTTAAATGAGAATTGATGTTTCTGTCTCACTTTCGATGCTGAATTTGGGATCTGAGCAGTTTTAAATGCAAACAGTTGTAGGATTCATTATAATTCTTTAAATCCCCTGAACGTTTTCCCAGAAATCGACTTTTGTTTTTGGTCTTTACAAACAGCAGTGCACGTTTCAGGACTCGACTGCACGTTTCGTGCAGACTGCAGGGGGTTCCAGGTGAGCGGGATCGAAGCCTTCGTCGTCCCTCCTCGTCATTTATCATGTCGCCTTTTTAATGACGCCACCTGTGTCAACAGCGAGGGGTCCTCTCCGCTCTGTGTTGTTCTGCGTTTCCATTTGATTTGTGTTCGCTCGTGTGTTCGCTCCGGTCACATCTGGCCTGGCAACACGAGAACCCCCCCCACCCCCCAAAGTGTTGGCGTTTACACGCACAGTCTGCCTCAGAGAGACGTTCGACCCATTCCTGAACACGCTTTTTTGTTTCCAGACCTCCTTAAAGTCCTGTCCTAATGGACAGTAATGTGAAAACTCAACAAGATTTGTCCTGACCTTTGACCTTCAGGGTTCTCATCTCTGTCTGCGTCAGAATAAGTCAGTTTGTCCAAACACCAAGCTGTCTTCTGTCCTCGCAGGTCCGGAATGCTCCAGGAACTTCACGGCTCCCAGAGGAACCATCGAGACACCGGGCTTCCCCGAGAAGTACCCCAACAACCTGGACTGCACCTTCATGATCTTCGCCCCCAAGATGTCCGAGATCGTGGTGGAGTTCGAGAGCTTCAGCATGGAGCCCGACACGTCGCCGCCGCCGGGCGCCGTCTGCCGATACGACTGGCTGGAGATCTGGGACGGCTTCCCTGCAGGTGAGCGGACGGTCGGGTGCGAGAGCGGGACGAAGAGGAGGGAAAATCAGCTGCAACACGAAGCGTGTTGGTTTGACATCGAGATTTAAAACGTTCACTTTGTTACACAAAGATAAAACTGTTCCAAAGTTTTTGAAAATCAAATTAATATGAGAACGCTGAGTGCTAAATTACTTCACTATTTTCTGATAAAGCTAAAAGAAGCACAACGCCGACTGAAGGTACCCATACAGTAGCTAACAGCAGCAAAAGGCTAGCTACAAAGAGCAAATAGCAATGCTAAAAGTGGAAAACTGAAAGTAATATGCTACCTAAATCTCAAAGTAGTAGAATGCTAGCTAAAAGTATAAAACAGTCAGCTAAAAGCTTAAAATAATGAAAGGCTAGCTGAATGGAATAGAACTTAGGCTAACGGTTGTCAAAGGTTGGCTAAAAGTAGCAAAAGGCTAGCTACAAAGAGAAAATGGCAGTCTAAATGTTAAAAGTGAAAAAAACACTCATTAGCACAAATTGAAAGTAATCTTAAACCTACGGTAAATCTCGAAAGTAGTAATGTGCTAGTTAAAAGTATAAAACAGCCAGCTTAAAATAATGAAAGGCTAGCTGAAAGTACTAGAACTTAGGCTAACTGTAGTCGAAGGCTAGCTAAAAGCTTTAAAAAAAACAGAAGGCTAGCTAAATGTAATGAAAGACTGCCTAAAAGCAGCAAAATGTGCTAAATGTGGCAAGAAGTGCTTTATAAATAAAGTGGCATGGTAAAGCACTAGCTAAGAGTAGCAACCTGCTAGCTAAAATGAGAAAATGTTTAGTGAAAGGTGCCAAAGTGTTGGCTAAAAGTGGCAAACTGCTAGCTAAAGGTTCAAAGTTGTACAGTGCTGAACATTGTGGGCAAAGTAAATAAAGTTAAATATTTTGAAGAGTATACGTTTTTCAAAAACCAAAAGTAAGAGCATGCATCAACCGAATGCGTACCGTTTGGCGTACCGTTTGGCGTACCGTTTGGCGTTTGTTTAGCGTATATCTTCGTGTATATCTTAGATCCTTGTTTAATGTTTTACACTTTATATTTTTGCTTTTTTTGGGTGTAACTGGGACCCTGTGTACACAATTTCATTGCACCTCATGTACCACGCTAATGACAATAAAGAAACTTGAACCTTGATGTTTAGATATACGAAAGGTTAAAATAGCAGAAAATACGCAGAAGTACTTATATTGCAAAAAAAAAAAAATAATTAACAGAAACAAAGGAAAACAATTGTGTTAACGCTAAATCAGCATTCACACAATAAAAAGCCACACACACAAAAAACAAGATTTAAAAATGCAACATTTGTATGTAATGTATGTTATATTTTAATTTAGCTTTAATGTAAGTGAAACCTTTATTAATTTAGAAAAACGGAACAAGTGGGGATAAAGATCAACCGGCAAAGGTAGGCTGTAAAACAAATCTAAAGTGAATCTGAAGGTAAGATCACACAACATTGGGCTGCAGGAGGAGGAGGTGGGGGGAGGTGTGAAGCAGGAGGAAGACGAGATCAGGACGACGTTTTCCTGCAGACGGAAAACAGGCTGAGACACGTGAAGGTGGAAGGAAGGAAAGCATGGACGTCTCACCTGCAGGTTGGACGAAGGTGCTTCAGTCCAGAATCCAGTCAACAAAGGAATGCTCCTGTCATTATGTAGGAATTTGTTGTTTTCCACTTCTGATCTGATCAGCAGAAGATCCAGATAATTTTTCTGACAGGAGCAGAGATAACGGTTAGCTCAGCGCAGAACATTTGGAGGAAGTCGTCTGCAGTGTTCTGCACTCAAACGAGTGACTTTACAGTCAATTTTCTGTGAACTTTGAACTCAGTAAGGTTATTATTGGTTTACAGCTTTAACCTAAAAAGCCTTTAGGATGACCTTTTCTGTCTCGCACAAAAATACAACAAATTATCTTTGTATAAGAGCTCGTTTTTAGAGATTAGTTCGTTTTGAGACCAATTCAGGGACTTCAAACTGTAATTAATTCGGCTTTAATCTGTTAACGGCCTCCATTTGGAGAAACGGTGTTTAATCCTGACTGGATTGATAAACTAATGGCTAATCCAATCGGTGCCCAAACCAAAGTGGACTGCTGCCGCCTTAAAACGACTCCATTCCAATCATTTTATTGTAATTTAAGCATTTCTGTTTCATAAACCTCCACATTGTTGTCAGTGTTTTATTCTGGTTATTTCTTTAAATTCTGCAACAGTCAGTTTGAGGCTCTGTTTGTGTTTCTTTGTATTGGAGTGTGTTCTGTTGTGTTTGTAGTTGAGTTATGTTACGTGGTTCCTCAGCTCTGCAGTCATTAACTCTGCACGCCTGAAGCTCCCTGCTTTCACTGTCTTCGTAAGGTCCAGGGCCACCACCAAGGGGGGGGGCTGGGGTGCCCCCTTGTCATGACAGTTTTATCCTCTTGAACTTTTGCTTGCTGAGCAATTTTATTTTCTTCTTTCTATATAGGGTTTGTAAAACCTTACAAGCAAAAAAAACCTGTTTTTGAGCAACTGTGTTAAAATAAACACATATTTTATATACAATTAAAAACAACCTAAAATCTTGTCTCCCTGAATAAGAACGACCAGTCTGGACAGTCCTCAATCTAGGATAGTCTCACGAGCATGTAAGCATGATTTTTTTAATATATAAATATAAATTTTGTAGAGGACTGTGTCAATAAGTGACAGAGCTTTTCTATAAAAAATATCAACAATAAATAATTGTGTATCAGGAGGTGATTACCTAACTTTGTATCGATGTATTTGTCAAATCATCGATACATGACAACATGATAGCAATTATCTTAAAATTACATCCTGGTCTTTGGTTTTGGTGCCACCCCAGGATTTTCAGTGGCCCTCACATGGCCCCCCATTACAAAACTTTTGGAAGCGCCCCTGGTCAGGTTCTCAGATTATAAATCCTCGTTCCTCATGTCCTCCCTTGTACTTTTGTTTTTCTTTTGTTTATTTAATAAATCACATTTGGGTTGTACCTGCTGCCTACACTCATGTGTCCTCACCATCCAAAAACAATTAAATTAAATTCAGTTTATTTATATAGCTCCAAATCACAACAGAGTTGTCTCAGGGCACTTTACAGGAACATTCTCACATATAAAAAAGCCAATTAGTAAAGTTCTCGATCTAAGGAGGCTAAGGAGGAGGAAACAACCAAACCATAACAAGAACATTATCTGTGAACGGCCATGCAAAGTAAAAATAGCAGTGACGTAAAGGTCATAAACAACATTTACATTAACTGCTATCAAGTTTTTGAGATTGGAGTTGAACTCGGGCCATCAGCTCGTCGATCCGGTCAGAATTAAACTCTTAATTCTCCAAACCGAGGCTGTTAATAAGCCATCTACAGCAGGTAAGGTATTGACTGCTCATGACTCATAAGACGACTTCAAAAAATGATGTTTCATCATAAAACTGGAGCAGATTCATGAGCCTGATTGTCTTTGGATTACCGGAGCTGGGTGTTTTGAGTTGTTTGTTCAGAGTGTGCATTAAAGTGTTGTTCAGAATGAGCGACACGCCGAAGGTAACGGCCGACGTGAAGCTCGTTCTCCTGAGCTCACATGCAGGCTGGATGCTCCGTCAGTGAAACGGTGACTCCTACGCAGCTTGCTCATTGTTCCTTTACCCACCGTGTTCGAAAATAAGCTCATGAATGACGGAGACGCAACCTGCTTGTCCCTCTGTTCGCACTCTTCCTCCTCCTGGGCCGAGCGGCACGTCTCAGCCTCCATTGTTGCCTAATTAACCGTACAGATAATCGTCAGAGCTGCAAACCCTGGACAGGCCGGCGGCGGCTGCCAGGGCGTCCACAATCCTCGCCGCCGTGTCCAAAGCTGTCTTCTGGTTGTTGCCAGGGAAGAGCCTGGCTCGGGACATGAGGACTGGCACAGGTACACAGATAGTGACACTTTAAAGCCGAGCCAACGTATAAACCGTGCCAAGCCTTCTCCTGTCAGATCATCTGTGTTAGCGCATGTGACGGTGTGCACTCAGGTGTGTGTGCTTGTCGTCTGAGCCAAACCTTCCCTTGTTTGTCGAAGCAGATTAGAGCTCAGACCTGGATTTTGTTCCTCAGCCCAAATAATTCACCCACGGGGACAAGATGGCCATAAAACATCGGCTTGTTTCTCTCCCTCTTTGAGATCACTGAATCAATTCTTCAAAAGCAAATGTTCCTTTCTGATTAATTTAATCAAACAAACACCTGCGGCTCATTTTCATTTCAAATGTGAGTTTTGTTGGTTCAAAAACCTCCTTTAAAAATGTCCTATAAACATCTTCACTCACTTCAGATCAAATCCTAATTAAAGATCCAATTTAAAGTTCAATATGCCACATTTACTTATCACATGTCACCAAACAGCAAAATAAACTATGTTTTTGCCTTTTCCTGTAACCAGAATGTTTCATGAAAGTTTGGATGAAATTTCGATAAAACCTTCAGAAAGCACTGGAGGTCCGTCTACAACAGATTCATATTTGGAGTCAGCCCAATTCAAGATGGCTGCCACACCCAACTGACTAAAACTCAGAAAAATGGCAACAGCTCTGTCACTTTTAAAGATATTGACCTAACAATAGTTGTGGTAGTAGCTGAAAGTGATGCCAAACAAATATTTAGAGCACAAACAGATTAACTGAGATCTGTGTTTAAAATGTTGCCATTGACAACTTAGAGTCAACTCTGTCTGTTAGCAAAATATCTTACGAACCAATGAGTTAATTTCAATAAAACATTTAGAAAGTAATCATTAAATGTAACTCTACAACTCTTTAACGTTTGGAGCCAGTTCAAGATGGTTACCACAGCCTGCTGACAGTAGAAAACACAAAAATGGCTATAACTCAGTTTTACAGATATTGAACTAAAATTGTCAAGATTTGACCCAAACGGCTTCAACGTCATCATTTAATTTCTATAAAACCGAAGCTTTTTTAATTCAGGTCTGTCCAGGTTTTTTTTAAGAAACGCCTGCATTTCTCTGCACTTGTGCGAACAACAACAATGGCGGTGGATAGAAGAGTGCTGTTTGTCCTGCTCACCATTTTCAACATATAGGAACAAGCCAACCTCATCCTAGGTCCAAACGAGAGTTCGTGTATTAATCTGTTTGGACGTAACTGTTCTCAAGCTTGAGACTGAAGTGTCTGCGTGCATGCACGTGTTGTTGAAGTACAGAAATCGCAGCGCCACCTAGTGACCTGGCACAAGACCTGCTTCAAGCTGTAACTGATAAACGTAATCCATCAGATTACTGCAGCCGGCCTCCCCGTTAGATTTCTCTTTCTGTAATTCTGCCTCTAAAGTTGAAAGAAACCGTAATAAATTTGGTCACAAATAATGAAGGCGATGCGGGATCTCCACCTGCAGCACTCGAAGCCTCGTGGTGTTTGCCACGGATAAAAACAGGCGAAAAGCCAAAGAAACGCTGTCGTTTTAATGAAACTGCGTCACTAAAACAGCTGATTTATGTTTAATCTTCACTGTTTTGTATTTCATTTTAATTCTCCAAACTGCAAATGTCTGAATAACAATAAAGAACATTGACCTTGATATTCCTTGAAAAATGGTGCAGTTAAAATAGTTTCCAGTTTATAACAGTGTATTAGAATAACTAAATCTATGTGGTTCTCTTCCATTTGATTATTAGTCATTAATTACCAGTTTACCATCAGTCAGCACAGCGAAGCAGTAAAAAATAAGAACAGTTACGTTTGCCTGATTGCAATTAAATTTAAAATTAAAATGCAGTCAACCGAACCGGTCGGGGAAATAAAAATGGTTGTCAACAATATTAATCTGCTTTACTTGAGCGCTTCCTATAAATATATGGTTTTCTTTATGGTTTCAATGAGTTTTCTGATGAATTATTAGATAATTGTTTTATTAGGAATGGAAAATCAAATTAAAGTCGTGAAGTTTCTCCAGTAAAAGTTCAGTCAGAACCTTCTTTGTCAAGAAGACAAGTTCCACCTGCAGTTAGAGACGCTATTTACGGTTTAATATAAAATCCAACTAAATTAAGAAAATAAAGCAGCTGATCAGTCAGTTGACCAATAAGTGGGACAAAGTTGTCGTCTACCAGAGGACTGAGAGTTTAAAGGTTCTGTCTCGTAGTCGTTGGTAGGACTGGGCTCTTCTGGACGGAGACTCTTGAGGTTTTGGTTTCTCTCTGTGCTGCTTTGATCGTCCAACCTCCTTGACTGTGGGGGACGATGCTCCTCATGAGTTGGACCTTTGATCTGACAACAGGCATTTGGAGAATCTTCTAACAGACCTTTAGAAGGTTCTTCATCCTTAGCCTTGGCAGAGGGTGCAGGTTAGTCATGTCCAACTGGGTCATGATGGTCAAAGGTCCGCTACCCTTGTGTTCAGTTCCTCAGGGTTCTTTTTATTATTATTAGACCTTTATTTATACAGTTAGTTCCCATTGAGCCTCGAAGACTCATTTACAAGAGAGACCTGTTCTTGGTACCCATATCCCCCCTAACGGGTCATCCTGGTTCCTACTTGCTGCTTTGGTGGACCTCATCATTTCTTCAGCTGTGATATTCCTCATGCGATTGTTGGATCATGAGTCCAGAGTTGTTCCCACATATTTCCCATGTAGCCCCACTCTCTAGGATCAAGTTCCCCAAAGTAGAAAGGCTTGCTTAAAGCAGCAAAAGTCTAGCTAGAAGTAATGGTGTGGCTAAAAGCTACATAAAGTAAAAGACTAGATGCAAATAGATAACGACTAGCTAAAATAGTAAAGGGCTACTTTAAAGTTAAAAAGTTAGCTAAAAGCAGCAAATGTCTTGTTAGAAGTGTGGTAGCTAAAAGCTACATTTTGAAATAGATGCTAAAAGTAGATGAGGTTTAATAAAATAAAATAAAAACTAACAGCAGTAGAACGGTAGCTAAAAGCCTAAATTTGCTAAAACTGTTTAGAAGCTAAAGTAGCAAAAGCTTAGCTAAAAGTATCAAAAATGTAGCTAAAACTAAATGAAGCAAATTGATAGCTAAAAGCAAAAATTAACAAAGGGCTAGGTGAAAATAAATAGTGTTTAGCTAGAAGTGGAGGGGTAGCTAAACGCAGTGGAATGACAGGTACGTTCTAAAAGTAGCAGAACAGTAGCTAAAAGCTTCTTAGCATAAGAAGCCACACAAAATGTTGAAGCAGATTTTAAGGAGAATGTTTTGGGGGGAATTGAAGATATTTTAATGTATTTCTTTGGGGAAATTGCTTGTTACAAAAACAAGTTTAAAAATTTATAAAAATGTAAAATTTAAAAAAAATGTGCATGACAGCACACATCGTTTGAATGAGCAGAACTTTTTCATATGAATGGCTAAAAAGTTTGCAGAACTAGTACGATTGTAAAAACGTACAGAAAATCGAAAAGATGAAGCGTGAAGCTGACGGTCTCTTTCTTCGTCCTCAGTGGGTCCTCACATCGGCAGGTACTGCGGCCACTCGTCTCCGGGCCGAGTCATCTCCTACACGGGCGTCCTGTCCATGACCATCATCACCGACACCGCCATCGCCAAGGAGGGCTTCTCCGCCAACTACACCATCCGGGAGAGGAGCGTCCTCCCGGAGGACGAGGGTGAGAGACGTCCTCTGAGTTTAAATCAGTCAAACCAGACAGCTGTTAAAACTTTGATTCGTCTTCGGCTGTTTGACTAAAAATCAGCCGTAAGATCAGAGTTTCATCACTTTTTCTTTTTAATTATTTAGACTCAGATTTCTTTCTAGAGAAGACTTTCTATTCTAATCAGTTTGACCTACTTTCACTTATCTTTGCCTGCTGAAACACATCAGGATTTTATCACTCACACTTTCTCAGATTCAGTTCTAGTTTTTTGTTTTTTTCTGTGTAAAGAAGCGATTTAATATGCATCCGTACGACCTCGTCGGAACGCCTGTAGAGCTTTAGTGTTTGTTGAACCGGATGGTTTTTGCTCTCCGGTGACCTTTGACCCCGGTCACCCCGGTCAGGAATGCGAGCGTGTTCAGAGGTGAGTTTATGTAAGGTACCGAGGTGGCAGACGGGAGCCCTCTGGGGAACAACTGACATGAAAATTGATTTTATGTCAAAACGTTAAAAACAGACACTTCTGTTTGTGGTTGTGTCCCAACAGAAGGGACAAAAAAACACTTAAATTATTAATTTACTACAGTAAAAACATGTAAAAATGTCAATCACTGAATATTTACCGGGCACCTTTCAGAGTGAGAGCAGTCAAGATGGTGTTTATTTTCCTGCATTTTTATTAGTTTTTATAATCTAACTTATGGAGTTTGATATTTTAGCCATTTGTAAGTCAAAACAGCGCTTGAATATTTAGCTAAGATATTTTTAGCTTTTAGCTACTGTTCTGCTACTTTCAGCTTTTACAGTTTTGCTCCTTTTAGCTTTTAGCTACAGTTTGCCTACTTTTAGCTAGCCTTTTGCTACTTTAGCTACTGTTCTGCTACTTTCAGCTTTTGCAGTTTTGCTCCTTTTAGGTTTTAGCTACAGTTTGCCTACTTTTAACTAGCCTTTTGCTACTTATATACTGTTCTGCTACTTTCAGCTTTTTGCAGTCTTGCTACTTTAAAGCTTTAGCTTCTGATATGCTATTTTTAGCTTTTAAGTACAGTTTTGTGACTTTTAGCTAGCCTTTTGCTACTTTTGGGCCACTGATTTGCTACTTTTGGCATTTATTTTTTCTACATTTATCAAGCCTTTTGATGCTATTAGCTTTTACCTAGTGCTCTGCTACTTTTAGCTTTTCACCACAGATTTATAACCTTTAGCTTTTAGCTATTGTTGCTACGTTTAGCTTTTAGCTAACCTTTTGCAAAAAAATAAAATTTAATCTCAACCTTTCTAGATTTTTACTGATCTGAGAGTTCTCATTTATTTTAACCCACAAACTGAGGTTCAGTTATTTTTTTATTTATAAAGATTAATGTGAACTTTTAAGTGTTTAACATTAAAAATACGTTCTGAATGTTTATTTTTTATTCTGCTTTCAACATTTTTACAAGTCACTTTCTGGATTTTAACAAGACATAATTTTCTTCTTAATTATCTGAAAGTTTTCCAAGAAACAAACAAAAACAAAACGTTCTTTGATTTTTTTTTAGAATTTTTTCCACAATTTTTGAGTATTTTCCCAAAATTGGTGCCGTAATTCCCAACCAGATGTTCCACATGTAGAATTATTTCTGAGCTCAAGTTCTTAGAAAATGTTAAAACATTGAGTGAGTTTTAGCATTTTGCAAAGTAAAAACAACAAATCAGGTGTTTCTTATTCATTTATTTTTTCCTTTTTCTGCTGACGGACACAAATGCATCTAGTCTTGATCTGCTGCAGGGAACACACGGGTTTCTTCTCTGATCCAAACTTCACGTTCACCGGAAACATCCTCCAGCAGGACTTTTAATCAGCCGAGCTGTCGGAGTGGATGTCTCTTTGGGTTTATTTTTTTTATTTATTTTTAGGTTTGGTAGATCTCCCTCTCTTGTGTTTGTATCTTCACCTGAACATGAATATTCCCGTCTAGAGGTCCTTGAACTGCACTTTATTAAAAACCGTTGTCTCGATCTTCTCTTCTTGGTTTATCCGTGAAGCTCGGGGTGCGTTTGTTTCAGCCGGGCAGACCTCGAGTCTCCAGACAACTTGAACAAAAACAAAAACATGTTTCCTTTTGCGACCCCCTCCTTCCGTTCCCAACGCTCTCCTGCTGTTACGAAGTGGACCCCTCCAAGTCTCCATGATCCGCTGGACTCCGACCCCCCAGACTTCCTTTAAGCCCATCGTATCATGGTTCTTTTTATATTCTCGTCTTTCCAACAACTTTGTTTCCACAGAACATCAGCAGATACAAAAACACACTTTTTTATGTCAGTTTTCTGCAAATTAGTCATGCATGACAATGAAAACCCGTGTTAGTATCTGCTAAAGGAAAAATAAAAATATTACTTAGTTAAAGCTGCATTTCACGATAGTTGTACGGTGTACATCAGTTTATTAGAGTGTGCTCATGTCTGTGTCATTTAGTCATTTTTAGTGTTTATTGTAGATTTATTTCCTGTTTCTTATTGTTTTATGAGTTTTTCCCCATGGTCCTCTGACCCATCGGTCAGTTTCTACCCCTCGGCTCCTGCCCACCCATTCTCACCTGCTCCCAGGTTACATTAAGCTCAGGTGTCTAGAAAATCATAAATAGACCTTTATCGTCATTTACCTGAGTACAATGAAATTCGGGTGTGCTTCCCAGAGCACAAGTAACAGTGCAATATAAAACAAACCTCTCTCTCTCCATATATATATATATATATATACTGTATAAACACTGTATAAAAAGGTAATGCACATTTTAAACACTCCAAAAGTGCAACACAAGCAGATTGATATTACACCAGTTGTCCCTCATTGCACTTATTCAGTTCTTATCACAGCTTTTGTTGAGTTCAGTAACAGCTGATGGATAAAAACTACTTAAATCTGTTTGTTGTCTTGATTGATCTGAAACTTGTCCCTGATGGTAACAGCTCAAATATGTCCGAGGTGAGACATGTCCTTTAAGATGTTGTGGGCTTTTCCTCTGCAGCAGGAACTGTGTAGATCTTCCAGTGAGGGAAGAGGGCAGCCCACGATCTTCTGGGCTCTGTTATCTCTCTGGAGCGCTGTCCTCTGAGCCGCTGTGCAAATAAGATACCACACAGTGATGCAGTTTGTTAAGATGCTCTCTATGGAGCATCGGTACAAAGACACCAGCAGTCTCTGGGTGATGTTGTTCCACCTGAACACTCAGGAATTTCAGTGTCTGCTGGGCCTTTTTCAAAAACTCGGAGGTGTTCACGCTCCAGGTCAGATTCCCCTCAAGTTGGACTCCCAGGAAACGGTGGTCAGCTACTCTCTCCACTGTGTTTCAGATTATAATCAGAGGTGGAACCGCCATTTTCTTTTTCCTGAAGTCGATCAACTTTTTAGTCTTTGAGGTGTTAAAGAGCAGGTTGTTCCCCGTGCACCAAGCAGTCAGTTGTTCCACCTTGTCTCTGTAGATGGACTCATCCCCCCCACCCCCATCACCACCACCGTGGTGTCATCCGCAAATTTGACTATGGTGTTGCTGTGGTGAGCAGGGATGCAGACATGTGTAGAGTGCATGGAGCAGGGGCTCAACACACAGCCCTGGGGGACTCCCGTGTCTCCCAAAGTCTCCACTCTTCTCGTCAGCCCCGTCTATTACGTGTGTGAACTTCACGTCACGTCCAGTTGTCCTGTGTCTCCCTGAGTTTAGTTGTTTAGTTTTTCTTGCTGCTGCCACATCTACGTTTTTTTTTTTTTCTTGAGCTCCTCATGTCAGTCTCCATTCCTGGGCCCAGCTTCTAAAAACTGTCACCTTGTCATCTCTAAATAATATATAAATGGACTAAAACAATGGCGTTTAATTATTCTTTTAATATTTAGCATTTTTACACCAATATTTTGAAGTATATGTTAAAAAAAACCTCATTGTGCTAGGTGAATTTTTATTATTTAATGTTTCATCTATTTGTAAAACCAGTTTTATTTTCTGTTCCTTGTGTGTTTGCAGATTCACTATGAGAATATTATGAATTATTGGTTGTCGATGGTCTTCAGCTGTAATCAATGTCTGTACGGGAGCTCCTTATGACTCATTTTAACTTTCCACAGGATTTATGCTAAAACGAGAACCCCCTGTTAGTTAATAGATCAGCTCAGCTCATAGCACCAACAATAAAAGGATCAAAAAGCCATAATTCTGTTTATCAAAGTAAAAATATATATCTAATATTAAAAGTGTTTTAAGTATCACTGACAAACAGGAAGTTGATGGTCACCTCTCGTTGTATTTGACAGATTTCGCCTGCATGGAGCCGCTGGGCATGGAGTCGGGGGAAATTTCCTCGGACCAGATCTCGGCCTCCTCCAAGTACAACTCCAACTGGTCCCCGGAGCGCTCGCGCCTCAACTACCAGGAGAACGGCTGGACCCCCTCAGACGACAGCGTCAGGGAGTGGATACAGGTCGGTAGCTTGTGCACGTTTTAGATATTTGCAAAAGCTCAAACTGGGGAGACAAAACAACAGATGATGTAAATATAGATGTTTTAATCGATTTGTGAGTAGAACATACAGGTTACGTTTCAATTCTAAGTAAAACCGTATTTAGAGATGTTTCCCTGAGCTCTTCGTCACGTCTGCTCAGAATAGTCTTCACTCATCTGCAGCACATCACCAGAGGAGCGCTGGATGAAAAATAAAACAGCTGTCATTATTTATTCATGCCTGCGTCTAAACTACACATGACCTTTGTGATCCTCACTATAAAATCTGACATCGGCTCAGGAGCTCGTTCCACTGTTTGTATTCTCAAAGGTTACTCAGCTAACGGGTTAAAACTAGAGTTTAAATATGTTTTCTGCACTTCTGGTTGGTTTGATCAAGAGAAGGAAAAACTGTAACGTTTAAGGTTTGTAAAGGAGAAGCTCAAACAATGTGATGAGTCTAAAAATCAAGGAGGTCTTTAACAAGAATTTAACAAGATTAACACTTAAAAACAATTATTTGTTTGAAATTATAGTACAGCTGCGTCCCAGTCTAACTTTTTCTTAATAAATGCACTTTGACGGTCAAATCGGCTTCATTTCAAAAGCCGATATGCAGAAGTAAGCGCATGCACGGGAGGACTCACTGTGCATTTCTTCGAAATTTAACAAGATAAGCACCTAAAAACGATTATTTGTTTGATCGACATTATAGTAAAGGTGTGTCTCAGTTGAACTTTTACTTAATAAATGCACTTCAATGGTAGAATCAGCTTCATTTCTCCGGGGAGGTGCAGCGAAATGAAGCTGCTCCAAGCGAGCTGGACGAAGGTGTCTTTCTATGGCAAGCCGATTGTGTCATTAATTGCCACTTTTGCCTATTACATGACACAATGGCACGTCATACTACTCGAGTGCCATCTAGTGGCTGAAAATGGTAGTGTTCAATATTTTCAGTCAGAATGAATGAAAACGGTCGTATCTCAGCCAAAAGTTGTTTTATAAATATGGGAAAAAATCCATAAATAAGTCGCTTCAGCTTACAAGTCGCAGGGCATGCAAATTATGCAAAAGACCACGACTTATAGGCCACAGAATACTGCAAGTGCCTATTTCTAAACCTAAGTGTTGGATAAAAATATCCTATTCATCTTGATTGCTCAAAGAAGCCGCACTCGACAGGAGAAGATTTTTAACCGGTTTTACTTGCACGGTTTCACAACAGGTTACACAGATGTACAGAAGTTTTACATGCATGGAGCCCAGTCATGAGAATCTGCCAGGGGCAGCGTGCGAGGCTTGTTTTTATAACCTTATCAGCTCCCGACTCACAGACAGGTCAGTGTCCTTGGACTGCCAGCTGCACATGCAGGATCAAATCAGCTCCTGATTCAGCCCTTTCTGAGAAAGAAAAGAACTCTCTGCTAACTCAAACACATGGTTCATGGGCAGTTTACATTTAACTGCCATAGTTAAAAACATCCATAAACTTGGACCAAAACTCCCTGACACTAACCAAATACATGACGACATCAAAAGGTTAGAGATGTTTAAATTGTTTTGTTTAAACAAACTCGTTTTATTTAGTTTACAGAAATTCAAGTAAGTATAATTTTCAGAGTTTATGACTAGTGAAAGAATCTGTTACGGTGCTTTTATCTTATTGTAGGAATTAAAGCGGGGCGGCATGGTGGCTCAGTTGGTAGAGCTGTTGCCTCTAAAGGAAGAGGTTGCCAGGTTAAATCCCAGCAGGGGGTCCTTTCTAGATGTTTTTTTTTCATTCATTCATCCATTATTCATACAGGTTAATCCCATTGAGCCTCGAGGACTCATTTACAAGAGAGACCTGAATGCATGTTCTCTCCGTGCATGTGTGGGTTTTCTCCGAGTACTCCAGTTTCCTCCCACAGACCAAAAACATGCATGTTAGGCTGAGTGGTAACTCTAAATTGTCCCTAGGTGAGAGAGTGAATGGTTGTTTGTCTCATTTGTCTCTATGTGTCCCTGTGATGGACTTGCGACCCGTCCAGGGTGTCCCCGCCTCTCGCCTAGTGACTGCTGGATATGGACACCAGTGACACCGCGTCCTGAAAAGGAATAAGCGATAAAAGATGGATGGATGGAATTGAAGCATATTTTAGCATAAATTAATTCAGATTTAAAATATGTTCCTAATTAAAATGCCACAATACTTATTAGTGCAGTATGAATACGAATAAAAAAAGGAAAATATAAGTTCACATTTTTTGATGCACCAGAAACAAAACAAACCTTTTAGACCAACAGTTTGATGCTGAAAGTGTCAAATCACAGTATTTGTTTAGATTCTTCTTGGGGGTTAAATGGTGAGGCCACACCAGTCCTCTGGGAGGTTGTCCAGTCAGACCCAGTCAGTACAGAAGAGCGCTGGAGTCCAGGACTGTCCCATTGTCCAGGACAGGAACTCGTAGAGGAAGACTCACAATGCCCCCCGTTACAGAAGCAGACCCTCACTTCCCTCCTGTGAGGGTCCCAACAGGAAGTAGGCAGGAAAACAGCCTCAGCACTGGAGCAGTAATCGTGGCTTTCTATTGTCTGTCTGGGGACTTGGTTTGGCTTCTGGCTCACAGCTGGACCTTCAGGATGTTAGAAAATGAAGGGCAGAGCTTTAATTGAGGTTGACGGGTTTACGCTTCATGTGGAAGGAGCTAAGTTTATTTCAAAGTCCCAGAAAGCAGAAAATTGTATCATGCAGGGTGTATTTGTAACACATTTTAAAGTATTTGTTTTAATGTTGTGTTTAAAATTATATTGTGGGTTAAACGTATTTAAAAATTGTGCAATTCTTTCTATTTTGCAGTCAACACAACTCGGTATGGACGCCAAAGTCAAATCACTTTAGAAAATTACAAAATGGCTACAATTTAGCCAGTCTTACAAACACTGAACTAAATTTTAGATTGGTAGTAGCTGAGAATCAATTTTAACATAGAATCTGAGCACTAACAGTTTTGTTTGTTTTTTTTTGTTTTTTTAGATTTGACCAAAGCGATTACATTAAACTGCAACTTCTCAACAAAAAATTATCTTTGTTTAAAAATTATTCATGAAAGACGACAGGCTATATGAAGTCCTTCAAAAGCTGCTGATCTATTTTCTCTGAAGGGTTCAATGACCAAAAATACTAAACCATCAAGTGATCACCTCGGGGTCAAATGACCAATTTAAACTAATTAAACTTTGAGCTCATCAGTGGTTACCATAAAGTTCAGCCATCTAGGATGTAATTATCAACAAAACCTTGGACTTTTACTAGAAATTTGATAAATTAATCTACCATTAAACCCCAGATATCCAGTGCACGTATTTACTCTAAAGAGGTTTTATTGTTTTAATTTTACTAACGTATGTATTATTGTCCCCGTCGTTAGTCGAAGAGGGGGAATTGGATGTTGTGAGCACGAAAACTTGAAAAATAAGTGAAGGTACCAACTTCTATTTTGATGTGTGGCAGCATCTAGGAGGAAAGGTCACTATCTAAAATGTTGCTGCCAAGGCAAAATCCAAGATGGCCACTACCATATGTGCATGTAAACCAGCAACCCCTATCATTTGAGTAAACTATACTTTCTAGATTTTAATTTCTAGCTTTATAATGTCCTCAACTGATGGGGTGGCTCTTGGCAGCCCAAGATTAATCTATGGTGGCCAAGGCCACCATCGGCCACCCCCTGGCTCAGCCATTGCTCCGGGTGGTGGATAAAATTTGCTTCTGTCGCCTGCCAGGATTCATCACTCTGCTCTGCCTTGGACAGTAAATTTATTTAAAGTACCCCGTTCAGGAACGACAAACATTTGCTATTCAAATACTTCAGTGACGGGGACATCAGCGTATCGCTTGTTTTGTGATGATTTTACCACCTGCGTTGAATATTTGGCTCCAATTCTACAAGTGTAGTTACTTTTCAAGGCTACAATGGTACCATCTTCTTCTTCTTCTTCTTCCGGCTGCTCCCTTCTTCAGGGGTCTCCACAGCGAACTAACTCACATGAAGACTTGGCAAGTATTTTTACGCTGGATGTCCTTCCTGATGTAACCACAGACACCGAGCTACCACAGCCCTCTGTGTGGAGCAGAGAGCTGGCTTCTTGGGTGCACGGGGGGAGCAGGTGGTGGGGGTTAAGGGCCTTGCTCAAGGGCCCAGATTGGGGCAGATGAGGGTGGAGACAGGTGTGGATGCTTCACCTTTACCACCCACATTTTGGTATTGTCAGTCCAGGAAGTTGAACCGGCGACCTTCCGACCACAGGCCCACCTTCTCTAACCTCTGCACCACCACTCCCCCTCCCCAGAAGTATCTGGTGCTGACGTGCACACACTAACGTTTAAATGTTCTCCCTCGTAATAAAAATACCTTGCTGTCCAAACTGCAGCACGAGACATGAACCATTTCCTGTTTTCTGAAGCCAACATGTTCTGTGGTTTACGCATGACCGTTTCATGGTAAACTCTGAGCTAATGGGAGTGTTTCTCTCCAGTCTTTTCCCATCGGTTCTCAGCAGGAGGTGACGACAGACTCCGTTCATCTGCTCGCAAGATTTACGGCGGCAGGCTCTGGTGCCTCTTGAAGCCAGATCAGAACGTGAAGGCAGCTTTGTATCGTTTGTGTCGTGAAAGTTAGGTTTGGCTAAAGCTTTTCTTGGCAAGAAACGCGGGACCATCCCCCGCCCCCCGCCTGGATGATTTATTGCTTCTTTGCCCTGCCTTATTGAGTCATTTGAGTTATGAGTGGTAGTTTTTATTAAATAAGACTTTCCATTTTATCTGATTAAACGTGGAACGTGGACAACTCGACACAACGTCCTTCTCTTTGTGGCTTCGTTGTACGTTTTAGAAACAAAACTATGATTGGGTTAATTCATGCATCCTCTCAAACACAAGCAGCTTCATTATTAATTTACACACATTTATATTTTATTGATACTATTTTTGTGTTACTA